TCGGCACGTGGGGTCTCTGGAGCAGGAGTGCTGCTTCCTCCAGGTCCAGAGCTGGACCTGCCAAGACAGGAGACCCTTTAGAGTCTGCAGAAGCACCACTGTGCCCAGAATTCCTGTGGGATGTAGATGCAGCCTCAAGAAAAGTGCAATATCCCTCCATAGGAATGTGCCAGATGGAATCATGGAATTGTTCAGGTTGGAAAAGCCCTCCAAGATCATCAAGTCCCACCCTCAACTCAGCCCCACCACCATGTTCACCATGAAACCACGTCCTCAGATAATCCAAAGAGAAACAAGACAGAGGGAAAATCCAGACCTGTTAGAAAACAGGGGCTGAAAGGAAAGAGAAATAAAGCTCCTGAGGGGCTTCAGTTCCCTGTTCACCCTTCCCAAACCTGACACCTGAATTCTGGGTGTTTAGTTGCAACTGTTATGGGTTATCCAGCAGTCCTGTGTTCTGTTTCAGTCTGCTCAGGGTGTGAGATGGCCTTGTTTGGGTCCTCAGCTCCCTCCTCCCAGCGTGGGGACTCCCAGCCCCAACCCCAACACCCTCAGTCCCTCCTCCAGAACCCCCTGCAGCAAATCCCCCGTGTTCTCCCACCAGGAAAAGCAAATCCCAGTCTTTCTCTTGCCTTCTTTCCATGAATTCTTCGCTCCTCACATGGAATGACATCCCCTTGTCCATGTCCCTGCTCCCACCAGTGCTGTCCTGGGACCTGGGGAGAGGAACACTCTGCTTTACACCTCCGGGTGAAGATGTTGCTCACTGAGACACAGGTGAGGAAGCCCAATTTGACCAAAGGCCTCAACTCTCTCAAATTTAGGGGGAAAATATGGACAAAAGCAAAGAAACCCTCAAAGTCCTTCCATTTGGACACTCAGCCCTGCCTGGGGAAGTTCAGAACGAGACCCAGGGTTACCACAGAGGTGTCACCCCATGCCAAATTTTATTGCTTCTGTTGGCACATGTCCCTAGAGACAGGCTCTGCTCCCAAATTTAAGGTCTAGGCAGCAAATCCTGGCAGTCCAGCTGGACAGGGTTTGCTGGCTCCAGCTAAGGAGGATCTTTTCTCCCAGGTTTTCCTATAAAACCCTGACAAAAGGTTCACCCAGTAGAAGTGGCGCTAGAATCGGGCACAAAAATGCCCCCACGTTGCACAAGTGGAGGTTTAGGTTGGACATCAGGGAAAATTTCTTCGTGGAAAGGGTTGTAAAGCACTGGAACAGGTTGCCCAGGGCAGTGGTGGAGTCCCCATCCCTGGGAATGCTCAGAAAATGGGTGGATGTGGCACTTGAGGCCACGGGTCGGTGACCACGGTGGTGGTGCTGGTTGATGGCTGGACTTGGTGACTTTAGAGGTTTTTTCCCACCGTAATAATTCCATGATTCCATGAAAAGAGGAGCCTGGGAGAAGATTTTAAAAACAGAAGCCTGGGACAGGATTTTATGAGTGTGTGTACGTGGGGGAACACACACAAGGAATGAACCCTCATCCTACAGGAAAAGGCAGGGGGATTATCCAGTTCCTTACCTGACCATGCCAGGCTCATGGGCTGTGGGTTCCTGTGCCCTGGGCAGCTCTGGGTGGGCACCATGGCCAGCAGGTCCTTGGCCCCTCTCAGTGAGGCTGGTTGAGCCTGAAAACCTAAAATAAAGATCCATGATTAAGGCAGTGGAGAAAATCCCTGCTGGGGTTGGGGGGGAAGACACCCATTCCCAGGACAGGAGCCACCAGGCCAGAGCTATTCCCAACATCCCAGAAGAGCCAACACCCCAGTCATCCCAGTCCTTACTCGTTCCAGTGGGGCTGGAGCTGTGCTGGGCCCTCAGGGCTGGTGGAGCTGCTCCTCTCCTCGTACCCCAGGACAGACCTGCCAACCAGAAAGGCCCATCACATCCCTAAAAACTGGCACTGGAGGATACTCTGCTCACCAGGCAGGGCTTGTGCCAACCTGCACCAGGACCTTCTTTCTGTCACAACAGTTGCATTCCCATATATTCCAGCTGCTTCCACATATCCCTGCTGCCACTCCAGCATCCCTGAACATTCCACTGGATTATCAGGGAATAAAAAGGGACTGACAGACACCAAGAGGAGGAAAAGTCTGGAGGCTGTGGCTCGTGTCATAGGAGATGGATTTAAACCTCAGTTGCCTCCATCCTTGGGGCAAAAGCTGGGAGAAGGAGCCTCTTTCTGTGCCTGCCCATTCAGGTTTCCCTTAATCCTCAGCCCACTAAATTCACCCCACTCCTACCTTTTAAAGGAATATTCCGTGTCCTCTCTGTGCACAGGGGCTCTCTCAGTGGGAGGAAAAGGGACATCAGGCTGCAAGCTGGACCTGTCCAAAAAACCAAGGAGTTTCCAGCTTGACAACTTTCCAGAGGCTTTGAGGGGGGTTTGTATGGAATCACAACACTGCAGTTTTATCAGCCCAGAAAACAGAAAGGAATTGTCTCAGGGAACTGATTTTCCCCCAGAAAGCCCCATTGTCACTCTCCCTAATCCAGAAGAAGAGAGGTTGTTGGTGGAACATGGAATCAGGGACTGGTTTGGGTTGGGAAGGACCTTAAAGCTCATCCAGTCCCACCCCCTGCCATGGGCAGGGACACCTTCCACTGTCCCAGAATGCTCCAAGCCCTGTCCTTGAAATTTGCTCAGCTCAAGAGCTTTGATGAGCCAATCCATGGAGTAAAGTCCCAAAATAATGGATAAATAAGAGAGAAAAGCAGCTCCAGGGAAATCAGTGTTTGCTGACCACAGCAGCAACTCTGCCCTGCCTCCGACAGTGACAGGGGAGGAGATGCTCCAAAATCCTGTGGGATGGAGACACCTTTGAGATCAGTGCTAAAAGCTGCTGAATCTGCTCCTGGAAAAGCCCTCCAGGACCATCCAGTCCCCCCCTGTGCCCGACCCCCACCTTGTCCCCAGCCCAGAGCACTGAGTGCCACAGCCAGGCCTTCCTTGGGCACCTCCAGGGGTGGGGATCCACCACCTCCCTGGGCAGTTCCAATGCCTGACAGCCCTTTCCAGGAAGGAATCCTTCCAGAATTCCCAGGCTGCTTCTCTGGGAAGAAGTCATGTAGCAGTGAACAGAAAGACTCTGTTCCCACTGTTTATCCACACGGGATTTCCCGTTTCCAGCTGCTTTGTTGCCCAATGTGGATTCTGCTTCCAACTCTACTCCTGACAAGTTATTTATTCCCACCCCAGCTTCCCTCTGGGAGCAGATCCAGTGCCATGCCCAGGCCCTGAGGGTGCAGGGTCAGACCTTCCAACATCCAGGGCAGGAGGGGGCTCGTAGTGATGGAGCAGCTCGTCCGCAGCATCCCCAGGTCTGTCCCTGGAATCAGAGCTGGACCTGGAACAGGGGGAGATTGGTGGGTCCCAACAGGAAGCTCAGCAGGTTGGAGAACAGAGCAAGAAGCAAAAACACCAAACAGGAGATTTTCCTGTCTCCAATGTAACACCTTTTCTTCCTGCTCAGCTCAGGGAAGTTCCTGAAGGGCTGAGCCATAAATCCAACCAACCCATCCCCTTGTCAGGAAAGCAGCTGGAGGATCTCAGTCCAATCTGAGGGGGTGGGTCAGGCCCACCCCTCTTTAGTGCCCTGACATTTGTCAGTGCTGGGTCAGGAGAAGACCCTCCTCACTCTAAAATCAAGGAGAAAAAGTGAATTTTACATTTCTTTGACACTTACTTGGGTGGGTGAAACCCATTGTTGGCTTCTGTGTGCTCAGGGAAGCTGCAAAGGAGAGACACAACTTCAGGAAGCAGCTTTGGGGAATGTTGTACAATGATTTTCCCATGCATTTCATAAAAGAAAGGAGGGAATCCCTAAACTTCCCAGGCATGTCCCTGTCCACAGGGAAAATGGCAAGAAACTTTGGGGAATTCAATGCATGGGAACTACAAATTTGGTAAAAGTACTTGTTGCAAAAGTAAATAAAGAGGTGGAGGTTGGAGGCTGAGAGAGACACTGAGTGTGAACCTCTCTGTACCATTAAAACCAGAAATAAAATCCATTCCACAACTGGTTTACACTTGGGAATAAACCTGGATTTTTTTTTTGTATTATTGAAAGTGAAAAGGAATAAAATAATCCCACAATTTGATTGAAGAGGGCAGTGTTTTCTTTGTTCCCTCCCTTAAATGAAATTTAGAGAAACTGCTGCAGTTCTGCAAAGCCCACACTGAATGTGTTTTTCCACCAGCAAATATCCACAGTTTCCAGACAGCTCCAGAGCAGCAGTTGCTGATTTGCACAACAGCCACTAAAGGAATCTCAGGAGGAGATGGGAGGACTTTACCTTCCATTCGTGGAAGCCACGGTGGCTCTGGGGGCCTCGTCCCATGGGAAGGGCTCAGGCTTTTCCTTCAGAGCTTTGTCACTAGAAAAAGGAAAATTCCAGTGAAAACGTGACCTGTCAGCATTTCTGATGGATCATTCCACAATAATGTGCTGATATTTAGTTGAGAGGAGCCCAAAATGGGGCTAAATCTGTGTATCAGGATAGGAGGGTCAACCATCTGAGCACAGAGGGCCTGACTGCAACTTATGGATCATGGAATGGTTTGGGTTGGAAGGACCTTAAAGCTCATCCAGTTCCACCCCCTGCCATGGCCAGGGACACCTTCCATTAGCTCAGGGTGCTCCAATCCCCCTCCAGCCTGGCCTTGGACACTTCCAGGGATGGGGCAGCCACAGCTTCTCTGGGAAATCCGTTCCAGCCCCTCCCCACCCTCCCAGCCAACAATTCCTTCCCAATATCCCATCTAACCCTCTGGCAGTGGGAAGCCATTCCCTGTGTCCTGTCCCTCCATCCCTTGTCCCCAGTCCCTCTCCAGCTCTCCTGGAGCCCCTCCATGCCCTGGAAGAGGCTCTCAGCTCTCCCTGGAGCCTTCTCTCCTCCAGGGCTCCCCCAGCCCGACCCTACTCCCACCTTTCCCTCTCCAGCCCCGTCACGCTGTGTGTCCGTGTCCTCCCTTCCCTGCCAGTTCCTCCCTCTGCAGTTCGAGGTGGTTTCAGCCCTGAGGCATCCCCGAATTCCCCTGGGAGCCTGGCTCCCAGTCAGGAGCAGCTCTGTGACCCCAGGCAGGCACAAAGGGGGCCTTGTATTCCGGCTGCTCCTGCAGGGACACGCGGGGACACGGCCGTGGCTCTCAGCTCAGTGCCCACCACAGCCCAGCCTCTACCTTTCCTCGAGCACTCCAGACTTTGCTCCAGCCTGGGATGGCACTCTGGGGACATTTCCAGCCTGCCTGTCACTGCTGGGGGTGCAGAGCGAGCAGCAATGAACTGTGTGTGCCCCACAAAGTCCTCTGGTGACCCCCGGCCTCCCACAGCTCCTGAAGCACAACAGGGGAGGCCACGGGGGCAGCTCTGCCTGTTCCAGCCCAGCCCAGCCCCAAATCCAGAGGGCTCACCCTGGGAACAAAGGGAGCCCTGCCAATGTGGGGGATATTTTAGAAACCACAGAATCCCAGACTGGGACCTTAAAGCCCATTCTGTTCCACCCCTGCCATGGGCAGGGACACCTTCCACTAGCCCAGGTTGCTCCAAGCCTTGTCCGACCTGGCCCTTGGACACTTCCAGGGATAGGGAGTCAACAATCAAGAGCCTCTCTGGAATTCTCCTGTGTGCATTCCACAGGACCAAGGAGAGGCAGATCCCTCTCTCTCAGGAGGGCCAGAACCTTCCCTGCCCTCAGCTTTGAATTCCCTGTGTCACCTGTCCTTTGGGAACCTCCGTTAGCCTTTAAATTCCCAATCAGTTCCTTGTTCCTCAGGTTTCCCTCCACACAACAGAGCTTTCCACACTTCCCCACCCCCTCCAGATTTCCCACAGAGGCCCAGAACCCACATCAGCAGGAGCCACTGGCCACTGAGGGTCAACACATCCCCTGCAGGTGGAAAAACTCCCCAGGGAATGGCAACTGGAGCAGGAAAATAAAATGAAACGCATGACCAAGAGTGTTTAGGGACTGAGGCAGAGAGCAGGATCCTGCAGGGAGGGGAAGGAAGGGTGGAGAACACCGACAAGCTGCAGCTCAGCCAGCAGATGATGCTCTTGGAATGCAGGCCAGGCTGGAGGGATCCCGTCCAGGGGACACCAGGAGCAGGTGGATGCTGTTCCTGAGCAAAGAGCTCGTGTGGAGCAGCACAGAGCAGCCCCTCCCCACTCCTTACCTGTCCCCACGCTGTGTCACAGCCTCCCAGGAGGATCTCCCGTTCAGGGCCTGGCTGTCCTCACCATTCCTGCAGGGAGAACAGCAGGAAGCGTGAGGGAGGGGGCTGAGGGGCAGCCTGGGGCACAGGGACTGCACAGGGGGGTGTTTGTTGGGCTGGTGCTGCCAACAGGGCAGGGATTGGGGTCAAACAAGAGCAGGTTCAAAGAGCTGCAGGTTTGGGCTCATTTCCTCAGCACAGAGAACCAGGTGATGTCCAAGCTGTGGGAGGTCCATCTGGGAATGTTTCCTCCCAGACTGCTGATGCTTTTGGGGAGTGCTCCTCTCCTCAGCTCCCTCTGCTGAGCTCTTGCTGTGTCCTGGATGTGTCTCCAGGAAAACCCCTCCCCAGGCAGAGCCAAACATCCCTTTCCTGGGGAGCCCGAGGGGCCAAGAGACCCACCTGATTCCAGCAGAAGTGGAGCTTCTCCCTGGAGTTTCCCTCAGGGATGGGGATGTTTGGCTCCTGCTGCCTGTCGTGGGGCTGCAAGAGAAGGGAAAGAACGAGGCTGTCACCCCTCATCCAACCAGCTCCCACTGCAGCTGCCCAAAACTGTCCTGCTTGAAGAGTCCCTTTTGGGAATGGAGAAAGTGGAAATGAATCATCACTGTTTTCAACCCACTCATTTACAGAGTTATCTTATTAAAACCTTTAAATTGAAACCGCTGCTGTTTGCCAGGGATATCCACCTCCTGCAGTGACACCCCAACAAACACACCAGAAGCAGGGAAGCAGCAAAAAACACTTCACC